GTTTGATAATAACAATAAGCTTGTCTTCTGGATGGTTAACAACCTAAGTTTGCAGACCAAAATTAGAGAAAAAGGAGGGCTACGAGAGTGGGGTGTCTTTTACCGAAGTTCTTTATCTACAGATTGTTTAAACAGAGTTGAGCTGTATAGGGTGTTAAGCCCTTTGTTGCCAACAGGCATTCAATATAGCATGGGGCTATGCACTCCTCAACCCATTCTTCTGAATCTTCCACAGGATTCACCTCCTTTCAAGAGAGCATGGGAGGGCCGGGGAGATGGCTCAGTGGAATAAGCACTTCCCTGGCAAGTGCAAGGGCCTGAGTTCAATCACAAGGGCCTTAGTTCAATCCCCAGTTCCACCAAAAAGAAATAAATAAATAAAGAGAGAGCATGGGCTTGGTTCTGCTCCTCCAAGGTGTGGGAGCCATAGGACAGCCCTGAGTGACAGCTGCAGTCATCCATGGGACGACATGTGGGAAAGGCCAATGGTGGGCTATACAGAAGAATGTCCTCATTATACTGTTACTGAAAGACTGGCTTGGTTTTCAAGACATCAAAGAATGAAACTGTGGACAGAAGAGGGAAGTTGCACATAGGGAAGTTTACTGAGAAAGCAATCATACAAAGGAAGACCTTCCACTCGGGAAGGGACCTGAAAGCATTCCCAAAGGAGGTCCTTTAGGTGTTCTTGTCAGTAAGCAGAGCACTGGAGTGCGCTCAGCATCAGGCATGTTTCTACTACAAGTGGACTCACTGGGTTAAACTGACCAAACCATATTGTCTCCTTAGTGTAAAGCATAAAGAAGATCCAAAAGGTACAATAGGTATAGTGAGACAGCAAGAAACTGCTCAAATGAAAAGGACTGAGATAGGGGCTGGAGAGATGGCTCAGTGGTCTAAAGCACCTACTTGAAACAAGCTTGGCAAAGCACAGGGACCGCGGTTCGATCCCCCAGCACCACATGCCAGCCGGCCCCACCCCCTGGTGGGCTGAGCTGGCCACACACACACACAATAAATAAATGTAATAAATAAAAATAAATAAATAATTTTAAAAAAGGACTGAGATGGGGGAATACAGAAAAGAAGGAAGGGGAAAAAAGGATAATGCATATACACACAAGATAGTTGAGACAATTGTACTAATTTCTGTTAGTTTATTGAAAGGAACAGTTGCATTGTATATTGATCAATTTTTCATGCCTCTACCTGGTAATCTGAGCAACTACTGTGAAGACAGCAATACACAATATAGTGACTGTTGTTGATTTCTTATCATTTTGTTTTGAAATTCTGTATCATTTTATTGAGTATTTTTGTCTCCTTAAAATAAAATAAAATAAAACTGACCAATTGGAGCTTGGGGCTTTCTAACACACAATTTAAAAGTTCAGTTGCTCAGCATTCCTACACTGCTCAAAAACCAGGCTAGAGTCAGGGAAATTGTTTGCTCTACGCGGTTCATTCCACTTGCCTAGTTGCTTCCCAGCCTCACAGCCCTAAGGGTCTGTCCACATCCCAACTCTGATCACCAGGGAGCTCATAGAGAAAGAGCCTCGTTCTCCAACAGTTCTACTGGCATTTAAGATAATGCTTTCCTTTCTTCCTGCCTAATTCTTATGTCTCTTTTGGGGTTGTTGCATTGGCCAGAGACTTGGAAAAACATGTAGAGTCTAATTGAAGAACCAAAACATTCACGCACCTACAATATTTAAATGGAAGTGGAATACCCATCTCTGACAAAACTAAATGAAGAAGGGAGATATAAATGAAGGACCATTTTGTAACTATATATACAAAATAGTTAGGATAGATATACAGCTTCTTTCTCTTAATTCAATGAAAAGTAAGATTTGTACTAATAGAGTTTGGACAGTATATCATGTCTGCATATCATGTCTTCATCTTGTACTAAGAATAATTACTACAAAGACAACAATATGCAATGTATTAATTATTGTAACTGTCCTACTAACCTGTTTTGAAACTGTCTCATTACTACTTGTTTCTCAATAAAATTAATTTTTAAAAACCTAACAAAAAAAAGAACCAAAACAATCTCAAAGGTTGTGTTCACTGAGCCTAAATTCAGATATTTGGCTCTGGTGATCTACCTTACACAGAGTTACAAATTTGGCCCTCACAGAGCTGGGTGGCTTGGTAGCTCTGTTAAATAGAGCTGGGACTGTTTATTCACTTGTTTCTTCATTAACAGGCATAAATCAGGATAGCTGCCAGCCCCTTTGGTTTTAGGGACAGAGACAGCTGTGGAAATGCATCAGTTACAGGCAAGAACAATTCTGTTAATATTTTAGGTACATGTAGATTAATTAGACAGGCATTTTCCCCTCTTTTTACAGAGCCTTTCTGCCAAAGCTGCACTCACAACCTTTAAGCTGCATCTGTAGAGCACTAGTTTGACTGGGTGGCTCTTTCTAAAATTGGCTCACCAATTAAATGTCACCAGGTCTCATGCTGCTCTCGTGTCCTTCTGGAGCTGGTTTCCAGGTTCTTTTCATTTCAAACGATTGGGTGAAATGAATTAAAAAAAAAAAAAAAGAGTAGCAAAGCTTATTTGAAAAATTAAAAGAAAGGAGTGAGGGAAAAACTAGCTTGGCAGAGCTCAATCGGGCTGAATTCAAGAGGAAAAAGCAAGATAACAGTAGAGTCTGGGAGACACAGGGTGGGCTATGACTAGGAAAGCCGTGACAGGGTGCTCTTTGAGGTGTCTGTGTGCTCTTATGCTGTTCAGATCTCAAGGAAACCCAGGAGAACTTCCACATGCAGGTCCTGCGAGGCAGCGCTGCGATCCCACTTCTCAGGTGGATGTCAGGCCTAGGCCATCCTATACAAAGCCTTGTCCAGTTCTTACGAGAAGTCCACATGCAGGGCTTTGGGAGCAGTTCGGTGCATGTGTTCTGGGATCTTGTAGTTGATGAGTCACACCCACTTCCCCAGACACTTTTACCTTGCCCTACCCTCCTGTCTCATGTATAGAGATCACCTTCAGTCATTGGTGTCTCTTAATCAAGAAAGGGAAAGATTTGCATATGGCAAACTGTACATCACTGAA